GAGGAATCAAACCCAGGGCCTCATGCATGCAAGGCAAGCCCTCTACCAGTGAGCCACCTTCCCAGCCCAGACAACAAACTTTTAAGAGCAGGATTACATGCATGCATTCTACAACCAGTGCAGGCACTGTCAGAACACAGACATTAGGTTTATGCTTCTTTCATTAAATAAATCAACAGAGAACCTGGAAAACAAATGTGGAATAGCAAACCAACTTTAAATTTAAAATCAGGTTTATGTACAATTGTGTTATACTGAATTTTAATGCCATTAACTTAAGAATTATTTAAAACTGTTCATTTTCACTTTAAAAAACTCTGAGGGACCCAATTTATAAATTATATATGCGGGACAATTTAACAGCTAAAAATGAAATTAAGAGTTTTATAAGCAATGTGTTTCACAAGCAGAACATAGAAGGTGAACTTACTGAGATCCAAATGAAGGTGCAAACACAGACACAGACACACACATACACATACACAATCCTTTCCAAATGGCTCTCATTCTTTAATTCGACTTTACCACAGTCAACTAGCTGTACTGTAAACTTTTTTTGTGTGCTGGTCCTGGGGTTTGAACTCAGGACCTGGGTGTGTGCCTAAGCTTTTTTTTCCCCTCAAGGCTAGCTCTCTCCTACTTGAGCCACAGGTTCCACATTTGGGTTTCAGTTTCTTTCTAAGTGGTTAATTAGAGATAAGGGTCTCATGGATTTTCCTGCACAGGTTGGCTTTAAACTAGCATCCTAAGTAGCTAGGATTACAGGTGTGAGCCACCAATGCCTGGTTTCAGCTTTCAATTTTGTTAATCACCTTTATTCTCAACTGCTTGGGTAATTTTCTACATTTCCAAAGAAATAAGAAGTTACCTCGCATTTCGGGTGGAGGTGGAACTCCATTAAGATAATGGAAAAACAAGGCAGAACACTTGAGGAATGGCATGATCCCAGCTTTAACACGCCTCCACAGATGCCAGCCAGAGGATGTTTCTTTCAAGGCACTGGAAAAGAGAACAATATTAGGGTATCTAGAAAGAAAAGATCTTGTTAGATAAATCATGGTATGACGAAGATTCGAAGTCGATGGTGCATATAGAAGCAGGTTAACAGGCTAGTAGTTGCCCTGGTTTTCGGAAAATGTTAGGTTTAAATAGTGCTATAGTCTCCAATACTGTTAAGATTTCCAAGAGTAATATAGTCATAAAAAATATTATGAAAGGGGCTAGGAAGGTGGCTCAGTGGTAGAGCGCTTGCCTTGCATGAATGAGGCCCTGGGTTCTATTCCTTAGTACCACATAAGCAAAAAGAAAAAAGCTGGAAGCGGCACTGAGGCTCAAATGGTAGAGCGTTAGCCTTGAGCTGAAGAGCTGAGGGACAGCACCCAGGCCCAGAGTTCAGGCCCCACGACTGGACCCAAAAAAAAAAAATTATGAAAAAGCAGTGTGAGGTCCTGAGATAAAACCCCACCAATTATTTTAGCATCTTATATTAGTATTATTTTGGCTATTGTCACACTAATTTATCTTACATATTTGTAACCATATAAAGTTTCAGATTAACATGCTTTATAGAACACCATTTGACCTAATTTTGTTGTTTGTGGCACTTGAATTCAGGGCTTGGGTGCTGTCCCTGAGCTTTTTCACTCAAGGCTATTGCTCTACCACTTTGAGCCACAGAACCACTTCCTTGACTTTTTTTTTTTAATTTTTTTTTTTGGGTGGGGGTTGGTTGTAGGGCTTGAACTCTGGGCCTGGGTGCTGTCCCTGAGCTCTTCAGCTCAAGGTTAACGCTCTACCACTTTTTTTTTTTTGTGGGTCGTTGGCCTGAACTCTGGGCCTGGGCACTGTCTCACAGCTCTTCAGTTCAAGGACAGCACTCTACCCCTAGAGCCACAGCGCCACTTCAGCTTTTTCCCTTTATGTGGTGCTGAGGAATCGAACCCAAGGCGCCTCATGCAAGTAAGGCAAGCACTCTACCACTGAGCCACCTTCCCAGCCCCACGCTCTACCACTTGAGCCACAGCACTACTTCCAGTTTTCTGAGTAGTTTATTGGAGATAAAGAGTCTCTCGGCCATTCCTGCCTGGGCTGGCTTCGAACTTCGATCATCAAATCTCAGTCTGCTGAGTAGCTAGGATTATAGGTGTGAGCCACCAGTGCCTGGCTGACCTAATTTTAAATATATTTCTAATACGTCAGAATACATCAATTTATACCAAATGATTTCCTCATATAAAAACACTTAGAATACTTCCAATCCTCCCTTGTACAAGCAGTGTCAGAATGTATATTTTTATATGCCTGTACATTTTCCTATATGTTAATCACTTTGTTGGGGGAGGGTTCAGGAGGGAAAACTGGGAGAAAATGACGGAAGTGGTGACACTGTTCAAAAGGAAATGTATTCATTAGCTGATTTATTTAACTGTAACCCCTCTGTGTACACTACCTTTACAATAACAATTAAAAAATTACTTTGTTTGGGGCTGGGAAGGTGGCTCAGTGGGAGAGTGCTTGCCTTGCATCAGAGTGCTTGCCTTGCATGCATGAGGCCCTGGGTTCGATTCCTCAGCACTACATAAGCAGAAAAAGCTGGAAGTGGCGCTTTGGCTCAAGTGGTAGGGCGCTAGCCTTGAGCTGAAGAGCTGAGGGACAGTGCTCAAGGCCCAGAGTTTAGGCCCCATGACCGACAAAAAAAAAAAAAAAAAAGAAAGAAAAAAATTACTTTGTTAATGTGGGTTCCCCAAATGGGATAATTTAGTGAAAGAACAAACATTTTGTTAGTTGTTTTGATACAGTCACAATGTAGTTGAGGATGGCCTCAAACTCATGAGCCTCTTCCTATCTCAGCCTCTTCAGTGCTGGGATTACAGCTGTGCACCACTTTGCCTTGCAAGAATAAGAATTTTTTTTTTTTTTTTTGCTTATGTGGTGCTGAGGAATCAAACCCAGGGTCTCAGGCATGCAAGGCAAGCGCTCTACCACTGAGCCACCTTCCCAGCCCAGAATAAGAATTTTTGTAAGTTTCTGACATACACTGTTAAGAACCTAAGTATATCCAGGTGCTGGTGGCTCACACCTGTAATCCTAGCTACTCAGGAAGCTGAGTAGCTGAATCTGAGGATTGTGGTTCAAAGTTAATTGGAGACACATGTCACCAATTAATTAGCAAAAAGCCAAGAGTGAAGCTGTGGTTCAAGTAGTAGAGCACTAAACTTAAACAAAAAAGCCTCAGGGAGAGCACTTAGGCCCTCTACTGCTCCCCTCACCCCCCCAAAAAAGAAGTTAACTGTAAGTGAGACTGCTGTACCAAAATGTAATTACTATACTCATACAGAATAGGGAGTAGAAATGCAACGATATGGAGAATAGTAATTTTTTTTTTGGTCGGTTGTGGCATCTGAACTCTGGGCCTGGGCTCTGTCCTTCAGCTCTTCAGCTCAAGGCTAGCGCACTACCACTTGAGCCACGGTGCCACTTCTGGCTTTTTCTGTTTATGTGGTGCTGAGGAATCGAATCCAGGGCCTTGAACATGCAAGGCAAGCACTATACCACTAAGCCACCTTCCCAGCCCCTTGGAGAATAGTAATTTTACTTCATATCTGCAACTCTTGGATATTCACTTAGAAATACGCCAATTTAATTTGCATCTCTCAATTCCTAAGGAGACAACATATATTTCAGAAAGGCAGTTTTTCAAAGTTCACGTATTCACTAGTCTGTGTCAGGTCATTGAGAAAATGAAGGGATCCATAGCAAATCCATGTAGCAAGACTGGTATGAAATCATTCTTCTCTCAGAGAATTCCAGTTTTCTCAAGTGAATTCCTATATACATAGATAGATTTTTGAAAACAGGCCAATACCCAGCAGTTCTCTTAACTGACAAATGAACTCCCTTCTCAGCTAGCCTGACTACTAATGGAGGATGCTTTGGGAAGAGGGTAGCCGCACCTTCCTGTGAAGCGGTGAAGGGTGCTATATATAGCAAGAACCGCCAGTTCTTCTTCTGTAGAGGTATTTTCTTGATCCATGCCATTCTCCTCTGAAAGATAAGCAAACAGTAATACTGTTTTCCTAGTATGACTGTTGTCAAAAGAACCAATCAGTCAAGCTCTCAACTATATCCATACACTTGTATATAACATGAAATAGTCTCATAAATAAGTGTGAACATAGTACTGAGCCATCCAACATGAGGCAGGTAAAATCAATTTTTTTTTTTTTTGCCAGTCCTGGGCTTGAACTCAGGGCCTAGGCACTGTCTCTGAGCGTCATTTGCTCAAAGTTATTAGCACTCTACCACTTGAGCCACAGCACTACTTCTGGCTTTTTTCTGTTTATGTAGTACTAAGGAATGGAACCCAGGGCTTGAGGTATACTAGGGAAGTACTCTACCACTAGAACACATTCTCAGCCCTAAATACCTTTTTTTTGTTGTTGGTTGTGGGGCTTGAACTCTGGGCCTGGGTGCTGTCCCTCAGCTCCTCAGCTCAAGGCTAGACAGTTCCACTTCTGGTTTTCTGGTGGTTAACTGGAGGTAAGAGTGTCATGGACTTTCCTTGCCCAGGTTGGCTTTGAACCGCAAGTCTCAGATCTCAGCTTTCTGAGTAACTAGGGTACCAGCTCCTGGCGCTAAATACCTTTTTAAAAGAGTGTTGATAAGCCGAGTGACTGTGGCTCACGCCTGTAAACCTAGCTACTCAGGAGGCTGAGATCTCAGGATCACAGTTCAAAGCCAGCTCAGGCAGGAAAGTCTGTGAAACTCTTATCTTCAATAAACCACTAGAACGGGCTGGGAAGGTGGCTCAGTGGTAGAGCGCTTGCCTTGCATGCCTGAGGCCCTGTGTTCGATTCTTCAGCACCACATAAGCAAAAAGAAAAAAGCCGGAAGTGGCTCTATAGCTCAAGTGGTAGAGCGCTAGCCTTGAGCTGAAGAGCTGAGGGACAAAGCCCAGGCCCAGGCTCCACGACCAGACCTCCCCTACCTGCCCCCTAAAAAAAAAATCCCCACCAGAAAACAGGAAGTGGCACTTTAGCTGAAGTGGTAGAGTGCTTGCCTTGAGCTGAAGAGCGCAGAGACAGAACCCAGGCACAGAGTTCAAGCCCCACAACTGACCCCCTCCAAAAAACCAACCAGACAAAACAAAAAACAAAAAAATCCACTTTGATAAGGGCTGGGAATGTAGCTTAGTGCTTGCCTAGCAAGCCCTAGGTTTGATTCCTCAGTACCACATAAACAGAAAAAGCTGGAAATGGTGCTGTGGCTCAAGTGGTATAGTGCTAGCCTTGAGAAAAAAAAAGGTTAAGGACAGTGCCCAGGCCCCGAGTTCAAGCTCCAGGACTGTTAAGAAAAAATAAAAAGTTTGATAAACAGGAAGTTTCAATGGAAACATAATAATGATGAATTTACAGGGCATTACCAAATGCCTAAGTGATAGTTTGAAACATAAAATTCAAAGGAGTTAGCTATTCAGAGGCTAAGATTTGAAGATTACCAGCAAAGTCTATGAGACTCATCCCCAATTTACCACTAAGAAAAGCCAGAAGTGGAGCTATGGCCCAAGTGATAGAGTTCTAGCCTTGAGCAATAAAGCCCAGGGACAGCTGGGTATCATAGCTCATGCCTGCCATCCTAGCCTCCTATTCAGGAGGCTGAGATCTGAGGACCATGGTTCAAAGCCAGCCCGGTAAGGAAAGTTCATGAGACTATTATCTCCAATTAACCACCAAAAAACTGGAAGTGTCGCTGTGGCTTAAGTGGAAGAGTGCTCCCTTGAGCTGAAGAGCTCAGGGTCAGTGTCCAGGCCAAGTTCAAGCCCCATTATCAACTAAAAAAAAAAAGCCAAGGGGGGCTGGGAAGGTGGCTCAGTGGTAGAGCGCTTGCCTTGCATGCATGAGGCCCTGGGTTCGATTCCTCAGCACCACATAAGCAAAAAGAGAAAAGCTGGAAGTGGCACTGTGGTTCAGGCTGGTAGAACGCTAGCCTTGAGCTGAAGAGCTGAGGGACAGCGTCCAGGCCCAGAGTTCAGGGCCCACAACCGGACCCAAAAAAAAAAACCAAGGGACAGTGTCTAAGACCCTGAGTTCTAGGACCGGTGCAGGTGCATGCATGAGCGCGCGCACGTGCGCACGCACGCGCGCGCGCGCACACACACTCTCTCTCTCTCTCACTCTCTCTCAATAAAGAAGTTAAACTACTATGCTACTTTAATGAACTCGTGAAATAAAAAAAAGGAACAAGCTAGGTGCAGGTGGGTCATACCTATAATTCTAGCTACTCAGGAGGCTGAGATTTGAGGATTGTGGTTTAGAGCAGGCCCAGGCATAAAAGTCTGAGTCTCAGCTTCAATTAATCACAGAAAAAACAACAACAACAAAAAAAACCTTGAAAGTGGAGCTATCTCTCAAGTGGTAAAGTACTATCCTTGAGCAAAAGTTGCTCAAGGATGGCACCCAAGCCCAGAGTTCAAGCCCTAGGACCAGCAAAAAAAAGAAAGAGAAAAATACTTTTTGGGCAAGGCAATTACTGGAGTACAAACTTGAGGCCTATTACTTTCTTGGCTTGCTTACTTGACTGGCACTCTGAGCCATGCCTCCAGCCTAGTTTTTTTTTGTCAGTCATGGGGCTTGAACTCTGGCCCTGGGCACTGTCCTTCAGCTCTTCAGCTCAAGGCTAGCACTCTACCACTTGAGCCACAATACCACTTCCTATTTTCTGGTGGTTTATTGGAGATAGGAGTTTCATGGACTTCCTTACCTGGGCTGGCTTTAAACCGTGATCCTGAATCCGGGCGCTAGTGGCTCATGCCTGTGACCCTAGCTACTCAGGAGGCTAAGATCTGAGGATCACAGTTCAAAGCCAGCCTGGGCAGGAAAAGTCTATGAAACTCTTTTCTCCGATAAACCACTAGAAAACCAGAAGTGGCGCTGTGGCTCAAGCAGTAAAGTGCTCTCCTTGAGCTGAAGAACTGAGGGACAGCACTCAGGCCCAGAGTTCAAGCCCCATGACCGACAAAAAAAAAACAAAACAAAAAACTGTGATCCTTAGATCTCAGCTTCTGGAGTAGCTAGGGCTACAGGCATAAGGCACCAGCACCTGGCTCAGCTTAGCTTTTTGCTGGATATTTTGGACAGACTTTTCTACCCAGGCTGAAAGCATGATCCTCCAGAATTAAGCTTCTCTAGAAGCTAGGATTTTGGCATAAGCCCAATGGATAAGGGATTTTAACAGTAGAAATTTTAACTTAAAACTTTCTATATGAAGATATACAGAGAAAGCAAGTTGTTTAGTTTATTATTCTCATCAAAACATCTTTTTCCTCTTCATACTTTTCTGAAATGGAGAAAACACAAGTGCTTCCAAGATGCTGACACAAGAAGGCAGGAGTTACCTGTACACGAGGTAAGTAAGATCTGAATGATGTGTGCCATAATAACCAGATGGAAAATGTGAAGGTCTCCCGTGCTGAGGCTGGTCCCTGAAAAATCTTGACACTGCAGTGCAGGTAAAGCGAGCACCAAGCCCACCTGAACAACAAACCCAGAACATTAGACAGAATATAATCACTGCTTCTCACAGATGAGCACATTTCTATTTTCTTCCTGGGAAGAGATGTCTAAACACTCAGATCAAGCTGGGCGCTAGTGGCTCATGCCTGTAATCCTAGCTACTCAGAAGGCTAAGATCTGAGGATTACAGTTCAAAGCCAGCCCGGGCAAGAAAGTCCGTGAGACTCATCTCCAGTAAACCACCAGAAAACCAGAAGTGGCTCTGTGGCTCAAGTGGCAGAGCAAGTGCTTGCCTTGAGCTGAAGAGCTGAGGGACAACACCCCACGAACAACAAAAAAAACCAAAAACCAACCAACCAAACAAAAAACACTCAGATCAAGTCTGTCAACTGAGTTCCTTACTTTTTTTTTGTGGGTGCTGGTCCTGAGGTTTGAACTCAGGGCATGGGCGCTGTCCCTGAGGTTTTGGGCTTAAGAAGGCACTCTATCAATTGAGCCACAGCTCCACTTCTGGTTTTGAGGTGCTTAATTGAGGTAAGAGTCTCCCAGACTTTCCTGCCTGGGCTGGGTTTGAACAACGATCCTCAGATCTCAGCTTCCTGAGTAGCCAGGATTATAGGTGTTGAGACACCAGGACCCAACTACTATTTTCTGAGGCTCCTCATAAAAGAATTAAACACAGAATTAGTGAGGGAGGATGTTATCTCTTCACTACTCACCAAACCCAAGGAGAGTTATGGAATATGATGAACATCAAACAAATGGTACAACACTCACCAGCAAGTGAAACATGTCGATGTCTAAAATGGAAGGAAGGTCTTCATAGCCGTCATTAGGCACCAGTGCTAAAGATTTAAGGAAAAACCTGAAGTATAGTTCACATGGCAATATAAAATGAAATCCACAAAGTCTAGTTTTAAACTTATCCTTTTGAGGATACATATGAATTTTTTTAGTTAAAGCTTCATAAGAGCTGGGTGCTGGTGACTCATGCCTGTAATCCTAGCTATTCAGGAGACTAAGATCTGAGGATCACAGTTCAAAGCCAGCTCTGGCAGGAAAATCCGTGAAACTCTTATCTCCAACAAACCACCAGAAAACCGGAAGTGGCTCTGTGGCTCAAGTGGCAGAGCAAGTGCTCACCTTGAGCGGAAGAGCTGAGGGACAGCACCTAGTCCCAGAGTTCCAGCCCCATGATCAATTAAAAAAAAAAAAGCTTCATAAGAAAAAGTCCTATAAATATTTCACAACTGAAAGAAATTATACTGTTAGTAAAAAGAATTGTCAAAGATGAGAAATAACTATAATATGTGCTGTAAATGTATGGATACTTACAGGCAAAAAGTTTACAAAAGTGTCCCTGAACCACTGAAAGTGATGCCACTGTCCAATGTGCTGCTGCGAATCTTGTTATTGACCTAAGACAGTCATCCTGAAATAAAGAAATTGATATATTTATCAAAGAAGCCAATCCATAAAGTAGTCCTCTTCTTTTAGGGAGCCATTCAAAGCACAGGTGAACACACAATGGAGTATCTCTCCGGGATATGGACGTGAATCTGTGACATCTATAATAACTGCCTCTAAAACAGAATGAGTAGATGCTGAAAAGACAAGGGCTATCTCTTTGCCACCATGCCACTGGATCTCTCTGAAACAGAAAAGATCCCTCTTGCCGAGAGCTTGGTGGCTCAGGCCTGTAACCCTAGCTACTCAAGGGGCTGGTTCAAAAAGACCGCTTGTGCAAGAAAGTCCATGAAACTTTTTTTTTTTTTGGTCGGTTGTAGGGCCTGAACTCTGGTCTTGCATGCTGTCCCTCAGCTCTTCAGCTCAAGGCTACCACTCAGAGCCACAGTGTCACTTCCAGCTTTTTCTGCTTATGTGGTGCTGAGGAATCAAACCCAAGGCCTCATGTGTGCAAGGAAAGCGCTCTACCACTGAGCCATCCTTCCACGAGACTCTTAGCTCCAGTTAATCACCAGAAAACTGGAAGTGGAGCTGTGCTGTGGCTCAAAGAGGTAAAGCATTAGTGAAAAAGCTCAAGGACAGTCACCGGGCCCTGAGTTCAAGCCCCATGACCAAAAAAGGAAAGAGATCTCTCCTGCACATGCTTCAACAGATATTCCTAAGAAGCAGATGAAGTATTTCTTTTTTTTTTTAAATTTTTTTTTGGGTCCGGTCGTGGGGCCTGAACTCTGGGCCTGGGCGCTGTCCCTCAGCTCTTCAGCTCAAGGC